CACCTACCAGTTAAGTGCGCACAAACCGTACCGAATCAATTGGCGTATTTAAGCGGGATTATACTGTACATATAATTCATTATTCTATGTAGAAATACTTCTATATTAAGTTTTGTTCAGTCCCGAATATATCTCACACATAAAGTAGAAGAGCAACCTCAATGTTTTGTTCCTTTATAGGCTCTCGATTGCACTCTGAGGTGAAGCGAACGATCCCACCTCTGTCGATCGTTAATCAATGTCTTTGACCAAATACTTTATTTTTCTAGGGTAGATGCATTTGTTGTCAACTTGTAAAAAGAATGACCGAATGTGCGCATGAGTCCAGCTTTCTTTGGTCCCCAGGCTCAAAAACATTGATGAACGCTTGAAGACGAATGTTCATTGTTGGTCCCGAAGTCATCAGGGAATTGGTGATCCAAGCATCGAAAGCGCTTGATTGCTCGCTGAAGACGTTTACCAGCTATGCGAAGGAGCTGGTAAGCTATCGTCTCGATCAGGCGTCAGTGGAAGCACACCGTGATGCCAAATATGTCGTGCGTCGATCTTTTGGGAGAAAGAAGGCGATATTTTTCTTAATAAGATGAGAGAAGCTGAGATGGCCATTAATTTGGTCGTGCCTCCATTATAGAAGCAGTGCCTTGCGTAAGCAGGTTCTAAGCTAAGGATATCTGCGCAAAGGAATGAGCACTTACATGCAATACGTCCATAAACGAGGCATATCTTTAACAAAACATTTCAAGCAAACTTGCATCACAGGCTTTTGCACCGCTTAGTCTGACGAACGGAGTGATTTGCACCCATCAGGAGAGGTGTAAACAGATGATGCTATCTAAAAGCATTTGGACAGGAGACAGTCATTATTTACAAGTAGAGACTTTGTACAGGTGCAGCTCGCATCGACACCTTCCCGGTCCACGCTTTTTTGTCCGAGGAAACGGTGAGTATTGCGAGAGCTGCAAATTACAGCTTCAATGCCGTGGGCTTCAAATGGGGTACCGGGAGAGCAGGCTTAATTAGCACGCTGGAAACATGAGATTTGAACTATGAGGGTGAGAGTCTCACAAATGCAGAGCATCCCCGTGATACTCACAATATGGGGAAATACAAAAATACTGCGTCCTACGTCCCCTTCCCTCTATGTTTTTGGCTTTATGGAGTAGATACCAATATTTTCTCGGAAATATACAAACACTTTTTTCTGGACTATGATGTCTGAAGAGTTGTGCTCGGAAACGTCAAGTTTGAGTAGGCATCAGACGGTCCCCTCAAGACAAAGTGAGATAAACTGTATCTCGTAAAGGCCACGGTTAGATAAATTCAGCGATAAAAGTGCAACTCGGTCCATTAACATCTTTTTATTAACATAAACAATCTCGCTTTTTGATTCCGTGTAAAGTCCAGATGTATTTGCACATTATATAATTTCGTACGACACGCAACTGTTGAAATTATTCAACAATACGCTAAGGCATCATATTTCCAAATGCGGATTCAGTATCCGTGCATCGAGAACATTACGTTCGGTGAAATTTAGAGCTTTGACCGTTTGGAGCGTTGTATCGTCCTGAACATGACTAATGAATTACGATCTCGCCCTATGTATGACGTGGCCTGGAAGCCATGAGCAAGGATTAACTAAAAGTTGAAAATGCATGGAGCCATGGACTCCATCCATAGTGAAGTTTGATGAGTCATGAATATATATGGCAAGGAAACAGAACAGCTTTGAGATTGGGCACAAAAACTGCAATATCGTTGGTAAAGAGCATGGAACTGTTTAGATCAATGAGCTCTAGTGTTGCTGTGTAAAATGAGGAGCACCCGGACAGCAGAAGTGGTAGGACAGCGAACCGCGATCGTTTATCAAGGCCTCAAAAGCGAAAGTTTGCTAATGCAAGGAAGAACATGTGTAGCCTTTGCTCATAAAGAATGTATTTCTGTTGCGACATTTGTTAAAAAATATATTTGGTGGAGTAAAAGCACAACTGTAAGCTGCGGTCGCCATGCCACAACTAAAGAAACAGACTCTATGTCGCATATGAAATAGATAAGTATTATAATGACTGGTCAATGTCACGATACATCACTGTTGAAAAGTCAGCACTACCGTATGATACGTATATCGTGCGGAGCAGTGAAGTTCCACGGATTGTTGTAAAACATATTACACTCGCGTGAATCGAGCGACCAGGTTTTCCTTTGTGTTTTATGTCTCTTTTTACTACTTCAAGCTGGTGAGCAATCTTCGACAATGTCTGCATAAAGAAGCAAGATGTTGATGTCACAAAAATGATGAGGAGGTCTCGGAGGAGACTTCAAACGCATCATCTGCCATACCTGTGTCCGTCAATTGGAAGTATAGCTCAAACTTTGCAAGTATCGCAAGGTTCCTTCGCTATTGTTTTTAAAACAATGTGGATCTGCGCTGGTAGTGAGCAGATGGTGAGGCCTTTAAGGAACTGTTATACAGCCTCAAGCATGCTCTGATGTTAACTCCCGATCTTAATCGGTGATTACATTGCATCTGTAATGCTTCAGCCTTTGCATTATGCTTTGCTGTACTGCAAGCAGATGCTGATCGGCATGAACGCGTTGTTTTGTTTACGTCTAGTCAGCTTGAAGCTGCTGAGAAGAACCACCCTGTTCAAGACAAAGCGCTAGCCGCAATTAAGAATGGTCTTGAATAGTACCGATCAAACCGTCTTTGATCTAAGGTGTGTGTGCTTGATACAGCTTATGCGCTATGTCGTCGTCATCACATCCATTCGAGAGTATAGTTGATGATCACCCTTCTTTAACAAGTAAATTTTGCGGTAATATCACATTGGGTCGGCAACATGGGATGATGGATGTGTCTACAGGTCACCCCGACTATGAATTGTTACATGCTACTATCGCGACGTCGTTAATCAATGGTGCAAATCATACAGCGTACAAATCAGACAAAACGGGTACTGACATTGGGGGGCAGGGTATTGGGAAAATCAGATACCGCTTAATCAATACGCGCGGCTGCACGTCTAAACCGCAATTTCTATATCTCAAGGTTGCTGTGTTACTGATCCACAAGACTCTCAACGAATAGTAAGTCCAACTGATAGACCCCTCAGAAAAAATGTACGAGGCACATGATCGACCATAATGGTTGAAAAACACATGAGCAAAGCAATTCGGCATCAAAAAATGGACGGATGTGAGCGCGTGTGGAACATATTAGTCATTTTAATCTTGCGGCATGCTTCAGCGCTTTTGCCCGCCTGCCGATATGGCAGCGTGTCGGTATGCACGAAAGCCTTGTGACCTAACGATGCGTCTAGTAGTGCAGGTATTTGTGATCGTCTTAGCTCGATTACCCATCTCGTTGCTATTATCGATAGCATAACCGGTGAAGATAATTTGCGATCGACAATATTCGACGCGCCATCGTAACGAGGCGAACACACTGCTCCGAATAATACGTCGCAATTTATAGCATCAGTCAAAACTCAAATTCTTTGAATGCTATGACCACAAACTGTACCCAAGCAGACAAACCGAACAGGGTGATGTTCGAGCTGTGATAATAGCAATTTTGCCATACATGTAGAAAAATGCAATGACTGTCGGTCTGACTCGATGCCACGCAACAGATAATCTCTTGCTCCTGTCATATTACGTCAATTAATGAAAAATATAATCTTATGAAGATTGAAATGTTGATATTCTGAGCTAGCAGACAGCTCTATAACTTTGTGTCCTTTATAAAATTGTTCATTTTGAGATTAACAGCAAGATCTGCAGAGTATGAGTAGATATCTTGCTTGATAAAAGCAACTCTTTAACTTAATCGATTTTTTCTCTTGCATTTCAAAAAATCTTGAAATGAAGTATGTTATGCATTAGCTAACTTCACTCAAAATGTGACTCGTAAGAGAAGTGGGGCTGTATAATATATTGTAGTCAAATCTACCAGAATGTTGTACTAATACAGATGAAGTAGCCGTGTATGGTGCAAGGTCGTGCTGTAACGTTTTCGCAGACTTTACATTGAACATAAGTGTACGCTGGATAGAAGTTGTGACGCTCGAATCGGGCCTATTGATCTACACTGACCCGTACCCACGCAACAAGACAGTAAAACATTCGATTTCTTTTGTCATAACTTCAAATTTTACTAAATTGAACTTGCTTGTTCGTGTAAGAATTCACCAATTGCATATTGGCAGGATGGCATCAATCATTTCAAATCTTTTCTTTAGAAAGTTGTAAATAATTACTTTAAGTTAAATGCATACTCTTAATTTTCGATTAGACTACATGTATTTTTACGGCAACTTTTATTATGTAGATTGGCCAGACTTGATACTCTCCTTAGATTAATTTGACGATGGTCCAATATTCCAGTCGAAGAGTAGTGATGCTGTCTTGTCGCGATTAAGCAGATAGAAGTTAGTATTCTCATCATCGCGAATTTGTCACATTCTTCCCTTTTGCCTGAATGTAAAACTAATTAACATTACATATAAAGGTTGTTTTAAGAAGTGTGAGGGTCACTCAAACTCATCTCACCTGCAAAAAAACTGTTTCTGCTACAGTGGGATTGATACATCAACTTTGCGTTCTAATCATCTTGCTACTACTGGAGCAGAAATCTTCTGAGATAATTCTCCTTGATCCCAGCAATTGATCTATAACTTTTTTGCATTCTTATTTATCTTGCGAAGGAAGTCGAGGCCACTGAAAATATCGTGTATCGTAGTGTCCATAAATGTCGAAAGTCACTATTTAAATTCAACTGTATTACAGCAAAGTTTTGCCAGCTAAGATCCGTTTTATTTATTTGACGATTGACATCCTTTAACAGCGCTGGCTCAAAGGGAGAAACACCGGAGACTAAGGTCTTAAACAGCTCCATGGTATAAGAAGTCTCCACTCCCGCTCTCCTCCCAGGCTTCGAAATCTTTGCAGGGAAGCAACCGGCTTTTTAGGATGATAGAGATGATTTTCTCTGCAAGCCATCCACGAGAACGATCAAAGCACTTGCTAAACTCTGTTTAGCATGTAAAGGTATGATTCCAACTATTGCCCTAATCCTATCTCAATGCAGAAACTTTATTATCACTTTCACGGCCTACAGAAGTAGTTTGGACAAACAAATAGTCCAGAATTGTCGTGTTCATTGGTTAATGATAAGATTTCAATGACATCATTTATCCTCCTCTTCAAACTTATTAAATCACTCAGCTCAAACGACTTATCAGGCCAGAATAGACTTCTTGGCGAATGCTATTAGTATTGCGATGTACAATTTCTCTTGAAAAAAATTGTAAGCAAACGCTTTCGTTCTGCAACACACATTTACTTAAAATTTGTCGGAAGTCCACATGGCCAACATCGTTTTGGGTAAATGTTTATGACATCTTCTTAAGAGAGTAAGAATGCCGACCAAATCTCGAGCTTGCCGAATGAAGACCTCAGTCATCCATTAATTTTGGAGAAACGAAATATCTTTCACTTGATGAGATACTATTTACAAGCCTTATATCCCCTTGGCCCACCAATCACTTCACACCAAAAAGGGCGAGCCCTTGCTTATCGAGCGGAGACGTTGAAGAAAGATCGTCTCTCAGCTGGCTCTCGTGAGATTTTTCGATTATGGTGGCTCCTCGATAGTCTTATAGAGGTTGCATCGAGTAGATTAATTGTCCCTTGACTGCTCAGAGCCGTGTTAACGGTCTAAAGTAGAGGGTAGCTCAGCTTGGTGTTATAACGAAGATGATACAGCACCGTCCCAAACACATATTTTACCTCCGACTGACTTGTAAGGGTAGAATCGCAATACGTTTCCGATGTTTAATATATTGTAAAAACGAATGCACGCTGATTGTCACGTAGCGTCGACGTACAACCAGAACCGAGAGAGATCACAAGATTCAGCTGCGGGAGGTTGATCACTGCCGATAGTCCCACTTTCATCCAAAGCGTTGGCAAACTGACCGGCCTACCAAGACTGTTACTAGCATCTGTTAAAGCGAAGATTAAACCCTCATTTTACAAACTCATAAAAGTTTGAGGTTCTCGATGGCAAACTGTCCAGGAGCCGTCGCTGCTTTATGAAAGCAAAGTCTCGGTTGAGCGACGGTATAGCTTGTCGCAGCACGTTTATCATTACAGAGTAAGAGCAACGTGGGCGTGACTTCGACACTTGGGGGTGGCTGTAAAGAAGCTATCATGAAGACGATCAGAGATATGACGGCAGAAACCATAGATAAAGGTTTACACCTCGATGTCCACGTCGTGCTTTGCACCTTGCAAAATTGAACATATTAACGGTCTACTCGGACTTGACTTCAAGTTGTAAGGTCTCTAGGCGGGTGAATCTTTGTGTTCATGGGTACGATTAAAATCTGCATTTGCGCAAGCTTTCGGCATTCAAAGTGCATTAATCATTGAGATTACGATTGTTTCGATTGTTTCAATTGATGCTGCTATAAGCGCAAGCGGCGCTTCTTAGGTATCAAGATCTATGGGATTTCCAAAGTGATATTTGAGCGACTTTGTTGTTCTCGTTTTTGCTATCGGTGAAAGTGGGTAGATCACTTGTATACGAATATGCAGTCGTCGACTACGCGCATAAAGCAACTTCGGAAATCGTGAAAGTTTACTTATGACATTATAGATTTGAATACAATCGACGTGACTTTTGTAATTGTAAAAGCGCAAAATGAGACCACTGGTCAAGCAACAGCGTTCGGCGTCAAACCGGATATTGTTGATCGATCCAAGTTTTTTTTTGTAACACTTTTGCCATTAAAAAAGATATGGAGCTCCTTACTGGAGCAGACGGAGGAGGGTGAGCTCTGTCAATGCTCCTTGGTAATCGGCTTGGCCGGGTCGTGCGGTTGAGGGTGGAGGGCTTTGGCTACCATTCTGAGAGTCTTTAGAACCAGTCTCTTTGAAAAATTATTTGACATCCTTTCCGCGATTTAAATTTAGGGCTTTAACATTAGTTTTTTCCTAATGACACCTTTGAAAATTTATGCGTAACGATGTTGACCTTGTGGACTTCTGATCGAATGTGTGCTGCAAGGAAAATATTTAAGCTAACAATTTCCTGAAATGGAATAGTACTAAGAGCACTCACCAAGAAATAATTACTAACCTGAAAAGTTGTTTGAACGGAGTGATTGGATATTCTTTAGGATACCTGATTCCAATAAAATCTGATTATATTTTTAATTCACGTATGAATACAAATAATAATGGACTTGTTTTTCAAGCTACTTCTGAGGCCGTGAAGGTCATAAGAAAGTATGTCCATTGAGATGAAGAAACCTGTAATTGAAATCAAACCTTTCACATCCTAAGCTGAGTTTATCAAGTGCTTTGATCGCTATCTCGTGGATGGCTTGCAGAAAAAGTCATTTTTTAATCCTTGCACGCCGTTAGATTGTGTGTGTCTTAGTAATATATTGAAACTTAAATGAGAGAGAGAGTGGAGATTTGGAATACCATGGAGCTGTTTAGAGCCTTACTGTACGGTCTCTTCCGTTGCGGCGGCGTTTTGAAAGTATGTTAATCGTCAGATGCAACAGATTTTGATGGCAAAACAAACAAATTAACTAAGCGCCTTTCTATCGTGATTATGCACCGTTAGAAAAAGATTGTAAAGGTTGACAGAAATGTCCCTATCAACGGTTGGCTGCAATACATTTAAATTTAAATTAGTACGGTGACTTTTGACATTCATGGACACTACGATATACGATATTCTCAATGGCGTAGCCTTCCTTCGCAAGATGGTAATGAAATCATAGAATTGATGTATCTATTATCGGGTTCAGGCTGAGGAAGGGTACAATTTTAAAGAAATTATTTAAAAACAAAGAGTATTTAGTGGGAAGAAGTCACCGAATTGCTACAATTAACGAGTGCAGCATAAGTTTTCCCGTTAGACAATCAGGAAGAAGTTGTATTTGATCGCTTAAGAACCTTTGCAGGGACTTTCGAGATCGATATTTCAACTGAAATGAGAGGAATATCTCAGCGGCATTTTGCTCCAGTAGTGGTAAGACAATTAAGGCTAATATTGATCAGGTAGTAGAGATTGTGTATTCATAACACAGCAGAACGAGTTTATTCGCAAGTGAGACTTGTTTGAATGTCTTTCGTTCCTTTTTTTATTGAAACAACACATAAGCAAAAGTGAAGGATGTGACCAAATTACGATAGTAAGAACTTTATCTACTTATCAGCACCGCCTATCACGGGCATAAAGGTGTCAGCGGCAGCACCGCCACACTCTTTATTTGGACTATAAAAAATTCGCCAACTTTATCCGGAGGAGAGTGTCGAGTATGGCAAATTTATATAAAAGAGATAATCGTATAATCAATGTAGTCTAATACAAGATTTGGTCTATGTTTTAGCTTTCAATTAAATTTCTACAG